GACAAATAATAAAATTAAATATTAAAAATTTAGCAGAATCTGCAACATTTAATTTTATTAAGTTATACTTTACAAACAGCGATGGACAACCCGAGAATAGAGAAGCGGATATATTTATGAGCAGTTCTACATATAGTGACAAATATTGGCAAAAATCCAAGCGTGAAAAAAAAGTTCCAATGTATGCCATATTCAGAAGCATGTTCCTAATGATGTAATTGTTTCAAACAAACAAACAAAAAATAAATAAATAAATTAACATAATGAAAAAATTAAATTCTTTGAAATCTTCATGAGACCTACATACTTGATAGTCAACACCTTTTACCATCATTAGTCGTATAAATCCAAGTGTTAATATTGGAAATGCTTGTTTGACTGCCTTTAACAATTGTCCTCTTAATGGCTTAAAACGATTTTCGGGTTTTTTCAAAAACGGCCGTGCAGCCACGATACCTGATGAAAACACAAAAGAACCAACCCCAAGATCCATCTACTCAAAAATATGTTAATATATTATATATATCTTGAACGCAATAATAATGAATGAATAAATAACGTACGAATGAAGTTCCGTAAGTCTCTGTCTTTGCTAACCTTCTCGGGAAAACTCGAAAGTCCACCGCCAAAATAGACAAACAAGTTAAAATCATCAGACAAGATCTATATGCGCTCAAAAAAGGTTTCCTCCTGATATTATTAATATTGATCTCTTTGCTTTTATAATCAACATCTGCCAAATCCTTATCATCGGATTTTTCTTCATTTACAGATAATTCAATTAGATCATCATCCGAATCACTTTCCCACCTCTTTTTTTTCTTTTCATTATCATCATTCGTTAATTTAACTGGTGAATTTTTAATTAGCGCAAAGGTTGGAATTAATAAGATTACATTTAAGTAAAAAGCATAGTCTGCTAATAAAGTGCACGAGAGAAGACTTGGAATAATAAGAAACATGTATTCTAATAGAAAGTTCGAGATGATGATCTAATTGAATTATCTGTAAATGAAGAAAAATCCGATGATAAGGATTTG